TTGTGTGCTCATAACCTGTCATAAAGTGCACACCTTACAGACCTGACAGTTGTTGACAATTAATGTTTACAATCATCAGTGCATATCTATGAATTACAGTTTTACAGGGCCTTGCCCATTGTTGCTTCGTTTGTTTCTGCAGCCTTTTTCTCAGTCTATAGCATGAATCATTTCCTTGAATTACTGTTTTTAAATAAAATTAATGTAATTTCATTCACAGGAATGTCCAAAATGCCACGTGACCATTGAGAAAGATGGTGGCTGCAATCATATGGTTTGTCGAAACCAGAACTGCAAAGCTGAGTTCTGCTGGGTCTGTCTGGGTCCATGGGAACCACACGGCTCAGCCTGGTGAGAATCACTAGCTCACATGCTTGTTATGTGGAGTCTTTTGTTTTAGTGTCTGCTGGAAATGTCAGAACAGGGGATGACTTTTTCCACCTTTTTTTTGTTGTTGTTGTTGTTGTTGTTGTTGTTGTTGTTTTTCGCTACACTTAAATGACAGCTCAGGTTTCTTACTTCCTCCATCATCACTTGTTTGGTTTTTTTTTTTAATGGCCCTAAAAGATGTAGAGATTAAAATTCCGATTTTCTGTGTTAGAGTGCCATATGAATGTGAATTTGACCACCTTAAACACACATAGTATAGCTTATCAGAGAGAAGAACATTACTCTTTTCATCTCAGTTATATATTTTTAATATTTCAGGTACAACTGCAATCGCTACAATGAAGATGATGCCAAGGCAGCCAGAGATGCTCAAGAGGTAATCAGTTATATTGAAGCTTCAAAATTTTTGTACGTTCTTCTATTTGCCAGATGTATAAAATCAAGTAGCCTCAACTGTTGTACCAAGCATGGTTTATGTTCCAGTTAACGCTTACATCTAAAAATGAATTACAGTTATTCTTGAAGGAGAAAAACCATGATTAAATAAATAACATGACATTTCTATAGTTTACAATAACTAAAATATATCTGTATATTGGATATCGTTTTATAAAGAATTGTACAGCAAGCTGATAATTACATGATGATTCAGACCTGACAAACAGTTGAGACATTTCAGTATATGTCTCTGATATTCCAGTGCCCATCGAGAAAGTAGAGTGACAGTCTATTATAAGTAAAGATGAGCGTGCTCACAGTAAAGGAAGTCCATGCTGTGTGTGTATGTGTGTGTGCAGCGCTCCAGGGCAGCCTTGCAGCGGTACCTGTTCTACTGCAACCGCTACATGAACCACATGCAGAGTCTGCGCTTTGAGCACAAGCTCTATGCTCAGGTCAAGCAGAAGATGGAGGAAATGCAGCAGCACAACATGTCCTGGATTGAGGTGCAGTTTCTGAAGAAGGCTGTGGATGTGCTGTGCCAGTGCCGCTCCACACTCATGTTCACTTATGTCTTCGCCTTCTACCTCAAGAAGAACAACCAGTCCATTATTTTTGAGGTAGGGCAGTTTTTGGCTCAGATACACTAGTGTGATTGTACCTTTTTTATATGAGATATTTACTATCGTGCTGGAAAATTTTGGTAGCATTATTTGCAGCGGGCATGAATGAATCCAACATGGCATACGAACGAAACTGGACACCTCACCAACCCCAGATGTAACACCTTTTAGCTTTCGACTTTTGTGGAAGCTGTGTTCGTCTCTCCCCCTCTTTCATTCACACAGTTTTGATCTTCATGGATGAACTAAGTGCTGAAGAGCTGTTTTTTGTTTTTTTTGTTTTTTAATTACTTTATTAGAAATTCTCATAGATTAGACATTTGTTCCTTTAGCTCTATTATATAGTGGAACGTTGCTTATCTGATTATAATGCAATTATCACTCATCAGAACAACCAGGCAGACCTGGAAAATGCCACCGAGGTGCTGTCAGGCTACCTAGAGAGGGACATCTCCCAGGATTCCTTGCAGGACATCAAGCAAAAAGTACAAGACAAGTACAGGTCAGTGAAGGAAGAACTGTACTGGTGCATGCCATGGCTGACTTTGTGTGTTTTGGAGCTTAAAATTTGTCCTGTGTCTGTAGATACTGTGAGAGCAGGCGAAGAGTGCTGCTACAGCACGTGCATGAAGGCTATGAGAAGGACCTGTGGGAGTACATTGAGGATTGAGAACACGTCCCAATGCAACGGACTCTTGAGTATCTTGACAAACTAGAGCGCTGATGCAATTTAACAGGGCAGCACAGGCCTTCTGCCGCCTCTCCTTTGGCAAACCAACCACTTTTGCATCATTTTTTTTCTGGATTTGTTTAACAAAATCTTCAAAGTAAATTATATTTAAATAAAGGGTAGAGTAATAAAAAAATGTGTACTACAGTATTGTTAGCAACAGAGTGGAGGGTTGAACAAGCAGAAGATCCATATTAAACAAATACATCCTTTTGGCTTGTATTGTAATACCTCCCCTGAACTTGTTTTCCTCATGTTTTTTTTTTTTTTTTTTTGTTTTTTTTTGCTTGTGAATCTTTTACTCTGTTTTGATTTTGACTTTTGTTTTCCCATCAGTGTGAAAATGTTTTCAACACAGCTTTAATTGTCCTGGCCATGTCTGCAATATGTGGTAAAGATCCTTGTCTGAGTGGCTGAATGTTGATAGGCTGATTGCAAAGGGGCAAAGACATTTCAGGGGGGGAAAAAAAGGAAGAAAAAAAACATAAAAAGAACAAAATAGCGAGTCTGTATTTTTCAATTTGTAAATAGTCCATATGCATGGAAGTTCAAGAGCAGGAGTGGCACGTGTTTGCATAATTTTCAAATATTTATTCTTTACCGTGCTTTTGCCATGTAGGTTGAGTCTGTCTACTCTCCACAGACTGTTGATGTTTGGAGGTCTTTGGCAATAAGATATTCGTCCTGTCATCTGCAGTCCCTTCAGAGCAGTCATAAGTTATACCTAACCAGTAACTCAACATGGAGACTGACAGAATTGGCTTTAGTTTCCAGGTAATCACATAAAGGACTCAGTGAAAGTGCACAGAGGAGCAGGATAAAGTTTTACAGGTCAGAGGTGAGGTAGAACGCACCGGCCCAGTGTCTCTCTATGCTAACCTTTTGTTGTACCCCCCTAGTTGTTTTTGGAGGTGTTTAACATTTAAGAACATTACTAATTATTTGCAAGAGCCAAACTGAGTGACATTCACTCCTTTTTTTTTTTTTTTTTTCTCTTTTCTCTCCCCCTCTTTCCTGACGTGGCTTGAGGTAGCTCAGCTTGCACCTTGAGAATTGAAAGAGGGTAATGGAATGTACTGACAGCGCGGCGTTGCACTGCTGCTAATTGGGCTCGATCACTGTCAAACAGGGTCAGGCATCTGCATCACTCTTGCAGGGAATATTGGAATGGAGGTGGTAGTGGCATCATCTCCATTCAGGAGCTCTCTTGCCTTGCAGTGAGACTGAACATTGCTTTAATTGAGCTACACAGATGGACATGTGATCCTTAAGGAGCTGAGGGAGATGGGACAAACTTCTAAAGGTTGTAGGAGTGTTTTGTAAAGCTGTTATGCTTTTTCATTAAAGACTGCATTTTTTTTGTTGTGTTTTTTTGTTTTTTTTCCCTCTCGCACGTGTGTTGAGGTTTTGGCATTGAAATGTCAGTTCCCCTCAAGATTTTGCATTGCTCTATGCGGTGGTTGCTCTGGTTGTCAAGCTCTCTGCTTGTAAATGCTTGTTCATCTGTTCTCTGAAATATGGCAGTCTTCAGAAAGACTGACTGGAGGGGACGCGATTATACAGGCAGTGATACGAGTCTGAAGATGACACCAAAGTGTCAGCCATCACTGAAACACATCCTTTGCCCCAGTTTCAGATCTTTGGGGAATTCTTTCCCAAATGCTTCTTATGTGTTCAAACGCATTATTTTATCCTAGCAAATTATAAACTGTATTGTTTATTTGAATAAATGTCATGACAAATCTAATTTTTTGGAGTACTGTGTGAGTCATTAGAGTAGGTTTTCTCTCATCTTAATTACCTTAACATCCATGAGTCACTAATTCCCCCCCCCTTTTTATTTTTTTTTATTTTTTTAAAGCAGTGTTGTGTTCTGCAGACCTTGCCAGAGTGTCTTCCAAAATGACATGGAATTAATTTGATAACTTTTAAATAATAATTTAAACTTTTTTTTAGTTTATTCAGAGTGTTATATAGCAATCAGGTGGTTTTGTTTTGTTTTTATGTCATTTTAATTCTCTCAAATCCCAAACTTATGATGACACAAGGTGAATGGATAAAAGATGGGCTGTTTTCTCCAAGCTGTCTTGCAGTAACACCAGCTGTAGCTTTGCTCATTAGGCTAATGTGCTCTCTAGGGTTTTCATTGTGTCTGCTAGTAGTTCATGAACATCTCACCTTAACGGATGGAGTAACAGAAGCAGCTACTCACATTAAATTGACATCCAAAAGACTTTTAATAGTTTTATAAATATCTTCAATTTGCACTATTAAAGATATCTTGGTAGTGTAAAAAAATGTTTGGGGGTGGAGTTAGTTGTTTTACATGAAAATATTAAAGTGCAAAATGTTAGAAACATTTTTTTGTTTTTTTTTTGGGGGGGGTGCGATTTTATTTTTGCAGCACCACTCATTTAACTGTCTGAGGTGTTTTGAAAGTGTGTCATTATGAAGACTTCCACTGTTGTACTGTCACTGGTATAAACCAAGTCCATCCCTGGAATTGCATTTTTAAAATAAAGAGCCTTTTTAACAGTATAGTGTGAATGTAAGAGTTACATTTTCAGCCACATGATGGGGACAAAGACACCAGTTCTGACAAACATGATTACTAATTGTGAGTTTCAACGTCAAATGCATGGTGTTAAAATGGAAGGTGTGACACAGAACGCATTATTTTTGACAGCTTATCCATATTTAGCACCAAACAATAACATTTGTCTCAAGGTACTTTGTACAAGTTAAAGATCCAACAGTAAGACATAGGAACCTTAACAATCAAACACCCCTTTTGAGCAAGCACTTGGAGATAGTGGGAAGGAAAAACTCCCTTTTAACAGGAAGAAACTCTGGGCAAAATCAGGCTTGGGGAAAAAGCAGTCATCTGACACAACTGGTTGGGGGTGAGGGGAGGAAGAGAGGACCCAAAATTCATAACTAGTGATTAAATGAAAATGGTGTATAAGGACAGAGTTAAGAAGAAATGCTCAGTGTGTCATGGGAAGCCCCCAGCAACTTTAAGCCTATTGCAAAGTAACTAAGCGTTGAAATTGTTTTTAGCAAAAAGGGAAGTTTTAAGCCTAATCATAAAAGCAGAGAGGGTGTCTGTCACCTGAATCTGAATTGGGAGCTGATTCGACAGAAGAGGAGTTTGAAAACTTAAGGCTCTGCCTCCCATTCTACTCTGGAATATTTTAGGAACCACAAGTAAACCAGCAGTCTGAGAGCAAAATGCTCTGTTGGCATGATATAGTACTATGAGTTCTTTAAGATAAGATGCTGCTTGACCTTGTATGTGAGGAGGATTTTAAATTCAATTCTGGATTTACCGGGCGAGCCAATGAAGAGAAGCCAATATGGCAGAAATATGCACGCTCTCACTGCAGCATTTTGGATGAACTGAAGGCTTTTCATTGAGTTTTTAGGAGAGCCTGATAATAATGAATTATAATAGTCCAGCCTAGAAGTAATAAATACACAAACTAGCTTTTCAGCATCACTCTGGGTGTATGGTTGATTAATAAGCTGATGTGGAAGATTGCTTCCGCTCGTTCTCCTTGGCCTGTTCTTTGAGGATTCTAACAGTATGATTCAAACTAACATAATCATCCTGCTTTAATCAGGTTTCAATTCATTCGTTTAGGAACACATTATAGCTTTACAAGAAGTCTTAACATTGTTTTTTTCCCTTCTCTTGAATATTTAGAGTTGAGAAGTGACAAAACACGATGGTGAGACAAATGTTTTAATTCAGTCTGCAGAAGTAGGAAAATCATACAAAATGAAACCACGATTTGAGGTTCAGTCATAAGTTTCACACTGACTGTATACAGCACACTCGGCTTGTGTTTTTGAAACCTGAGCAGTTTCAACACAAAAACTACAAAGGGTTGAAAAATTAAAGGAGCTTCCTCTACTGAATGGACTGGACCAAGCTTCTCAAAGTTATTCAGTGTTTTGACTTTAGTGCTTTCACTCATTTTGTATTTTGCTGATGGTGGTTGAGGGAGCATCCAAGAGCGCATCCATAGGTGTCCAGCTGGTTACGTCAACCATAGTATATATTATTTACATCATTCTCATCAGCCACTCAGTGAAACCCTTGTTCCCTGTGTACAGGGGCACTGTCATCTTGAAAGAGACCATTTCCATCTGAACAGAAATGGGTAAAGGTGGCGGCTCAGAGCAACTTTGCATTGATTTGCAGTGTAAATTTGCGTCACTATAAGGGTCAAAGTTTTTCCATTTAATTCATCACCGGTCTTTACTTACAATAAGGCAACCACCATCATCAGGGTCAAGATTAGTTTTCTGCATTAATGCTATATGTGACTGGCACCGCATTACGGTACAGTAAGGTGCTTGAAAGTAATGCTCATTCAAACTACGCCAAGCCACTAATTTCCCTCTGCTGCACTGTTTCAAAAGAAAGGTCAGGATGACTTAAAAAAATACTCCACTGATGCTCGCAGTTTATAAAAGTAAAGGGGCACAGTGAGGCAGTGATTTCTTTCATGTCATCAAAATTTAATTTATTAAAATAAAGTTACCGCATAAATGATAAGAATGTAAAAAAAATAATAATAATAATGAGCTAAACACTGAACATAGCCCATCACTAAAGAAAGCACAACTTTGTGCTTACATAACAGGCAATTTTAGGTGACTTCATTATTTTATATAAAAGAAGAAGTAGAAAAAAAAAAGAATCCAGTTCACCTTCATTCTCGAGGAACCTTTCGTAAGTGAGTTAAGAAAAAAAAATGCTCAGCTGTCGTTGCGCTCACAGAGGTGTCATAGCATTGTGTGTACGTGCCTGGAAACTAGTCTTCAATTTTGAGCCAGCCTTTTTTATAGTCTATGAGAAGCTCGAGGTAGTACTTCCACTCTGGCTCGCTGTCATACCTGACCTCAAATATGGTCTTAAGGGGGTTGGGGTGAGCCTCGTGGATGCGCAGCACCTCCCCTCTGTACCACACCTCTGATTTGTCAACTTCCTCGTACAGGTGGCGGATCCTCTTTCCCACCAACTCGGGGTAGCAGAACCTCATGGCCCTCTGAGCCCTCTGCACAGCTGAACGCAGGACCCATCGCCTCCTGTGTTCGGCGCTGTGACAGGCAGACAAGTAGGGACAGTATTTGATCTTCAAAAGTGATCTATGTTTTCTTTTAGAAGAGCTGCCAAGGGGTCTTAAAGCATGAGAGAAGCTTCCTGTTCTCTCCCACCTGTGCTTTGTTTTGGGTGTCCTCCTGTGAACGTCAGCCTCACCGATCACACTCTCCCCGTCATCAGTCTGTGAGATGGAAGCATCAGCAGATGTCTCCGACTCTGACACTGCTTGGTATCGAGTTTTTTTTCTCTTTAGACCTTCACTAAGTATCTTCCTCAGTTTAACAATGACTCCTGAACAATTCTTAGAGTTTTCCTTAGATTTGACTGATGGTGAGGACTGACCAACGTGCCACCTGCTGGAAGATCCCTCAGTTTCTGCGTCACTCAGGAATGGGGGTAGCTCGTCCAGTGTTAAAGGACACATCCATGAAATATATGGATTCTGCTCTGAAACCATATAATCAGTCCCTTTATTATCACTCTCCTGGGGCTCATGGGCACTGCAGTTTTTCTTTGCAGTTGTGTTGACAGTGCTTTCAGCTACAACCTTGTCCATATCCCCTCTCTCTTCCTCATCTGACAACCTGTTTTCTAGAAACGTACGCCTCGAACGGCTCTTTACTCTTCTTTTAGTTTTATTCCTGTTCAAATGCAATTGTGTTTCCTCATCCTCTGAACATCTCTGTGGTTGCAACTCTGAGTGCGAGGCTGCGGAGGCAGTGGTGTCAGAAAATACAGGAACCCTCCCGCTGTTAGACGCTTCAGAGCTTCCATCTTGTTCCCTGTGATCGGAGTCCATATCTAATCCTGCAACACAGGGAAAATGGCAAAAAGAGAGCTCAAAACAAATGCTGAAATATCGCAGATAAATATAGGATTCTGCTTCCTCACAAAGTGGGAAGATTAGAGGCAAAGGAATTTATGCAGTGATCAGGGAAACAGTTACAAGTGAGAAGCAAGTCAGAAACAGACTTTCAGGATTTCTGACAAGGAAATATAAAATACTTGGTTTCCTAAAGAGCTTATTTCACACCTAAACCTAAGGATTTCGGCTTTTGCACATCATGATCCTCCACCACGAAACACCCTTACAGCAAAGATGGCTATGAGAAGAGAAGGCTATGGGAATAAACACAAAGGCTGGGAAAAAGTCAACTGCTGCGAGGGGTGCTATCAGTCACGGATAAAACAGCAGTGAGGCAAGAAGAGGGCAACAGAAATGTTCAGACACTAGAGTCAAGTGCTCCAAAACCATGTGAACCTATGTCAGCAGTGAACAGCAGTTCAATTAGGCCAAGTTCAGTAGGTTCAGGAAGCAAATACAATCGAAGCTGTTGACAGACAAAATAAAAGGCAACAATAATTTTTTTTTTTAAAAAAGGACGACTCTATTGATATGCTATAATCTTTGTATTTTTAACTAACTACATAAAAACTCAAAATATTTAATTCAAATAAAGTTGATTAACTTAGTTAATGTATGTAACATTTTTTTCCCACCTATAATGAGAGAGCACTGTTATTATTTAGTATGTGCAACATTTCATGAATACTTGAATGTGATGACGATGAAGTCTGAAAGTATACACTAATCAGCCACAGCATTAAAACGACTGGGAAAGGGATTTAAGTTT